ACCTCTTGACCCCTTGATAAATTGTAAATTATTATGTTTTCATATCTTACACTGACCACTATCTCCCTTCCCCCATGGTTTCTGTTGTTCATCCCCCTGGAGGGGTGTGTGTGGTTATGTGTCGATCATTGGGATCAATTTCCCCTTCTTCCCCTCCTCTCCCCACCTTTTCCCTAACCCTCCTGATATTTCTATTCTCATTCTTGTTCCTGAAATCCATGTCGTGAGCTCTTATCTCTTTTTTTCCCCATGAATTTTTTTTAAATCATTTTATTGGGGGCTCATACAACTCTTATCACAATCCATACATACATCAATTGTATAAAGCACATTTGTACATTCGTTACCCTCATCATTCTCAAAACATTTGCTCTCCACGTTGTTCTTGAATAAAGGCTTCTTCTTTGTTAGCCTCCCACATGTTCCTAGACATTATGTAGAAATACACAAATTTTAAACAAAATAAATTACACACCTTTTGAGGAGCAAAATTAAAATAAAAACCACACAAGCACACACACATACAATGAACCTGGCATCATCCTATTTCTTCCCCCATCCACCTCAGAATTATAATCCACACCTGTGGCCACACAAGGGGCTGACTCGGCAGCTGCAAAACCCAGATGTCAGACACTGAATTGTGTCTCTGGCAGCAGTCGTAAGTTGCAGGCCTCTCCTTAGCTGACCTCTGAAATGGCCTATTAATTGTCTGACTCCCTTTCTGGATTGTGAAGTAACTACGAAGCTATCTTTGGGGGGCTGGCTCAGGGCTAATCTACCAATTGGTGTTCTGGATGCAATTATCTTTTGCCTTACCTTTGATTGTAAGGAACTGATATCCTTTGTAGGGGTGAAATTTGGGATGGGGCAAAGACTTGACAAAGAACTATATTCAGGGTTTTTTCTAGGACAAAATAAGGGTTTTTTTTCCTTCTTCACTTTGATCCCCACCACCTGCCCTTGGATGAAGTGAACCTTATATATCTTAGCATAGAGTCAATGTGCTTAATCTAAAATCAAATTGAGTTCCTTCATTCACCCTCGCCTCAAGAAAACTCTGAATTTCCTTATAATGCTCCATGAAACAAATTCTTAAAGTCTGAAAATGAAACCTTTTTTTCTCAAGGAGCTGCAACTTCATTTTGCCATTGTTAAAAAACATGAGTTCTTTTGATTTATTAGAGTGAGAAAGGATTATACTGCATCTGCATTTCCACATCACTTATTGCCAAATGAAATGACATTTAAGAGACAGTCATTTGGGGGATGTGGTATGAAAGGGCCAACTGTCCACGCACAATCCACCCGAGCAGCCCTCCAGTAAGGATCCATTGTGCTCAGTAGGTTAAGGAGAAGCATGCTTGAGGCAACTACAGAATATATTAGTACCACAGCCAGCAGGAAAGTGGTAGTCATTTGCAACATGTAATACATTCCAATTTTTCTTTAGTCGTAATTAAAGAAATACAAATGTTTATTGACCCCACAGAATTAGACTTCCAAAAGAGAGATGATTAAATATCTCTAAGTCTATACTGACATAAATAAAATAATTGAATAAGCTAGGGAGAAATGTCAAATCTTACATACAGAACAATTGCAAATAGTGTACATGGTCACTCCTCCCTCAAAGAAATGGAGTTTAATTCCCAACCACTTGCATATGGGCTTTGATTAGCAGCTTGATTCTGAAGCGCACACTACGGAAAGGGGCAAAAGGCTAGGGAGCTGTACAGGGTTGAGAGCTACTAGCAAAAACCACCTTGGCCAGCCGATCAAAGTTAGCATGCTCAGTGATGCCATGTTGAGGGCGTGATTAAGAAGCAGGGCACTTTCTTTGTGGTCTTCTAAAAGCTCATGACGCCCATTCTAACCAGCTGAGGGACATACAAAATATATGACCTGTAGTCCTCAAAATTGTCATGGTCATAAAAAATAAGAAAATAAACTGTCCAGGCCAAAAAAATCCTAAAAAGACATGACAATTAAATGTCATTTAGAATGCAGGATAGGATTCTTGAACAGAAAGGAAAAAAAAAAAAGACGGCATCAGGGGAAAAATATGGTGAAATCCAGATATGGTGCAAGGTTTAATTAACAGTAAAGTACCAATGCAGAGGCCTTAGTTATGGCACAGAGACCATGGAGCGCTCGGGCAGCAGTGGTTAAAGTGTGCAGCTTGCTAATGGAAAACTGGTGGTTCCAGTCCGCTAGCTGCTCTGCAGGAAGACAGCGTGGCCCTCTGCTTCCATAAAGATTACATCCTGGAAACCCCATGGGGCCAGTTCTGTTCTCCCCTGTGGGGTTGCTGTGAGTTAGGATGAACCAAATGACAAGAGCATAAATAAATGGGGGAGGGGGGTATATGAGAATTCTCTACAACTTTTGTGTAAACCTAAAAATAATTGTAAAATTCAACATGTATTTACCTTTAAAAATGGTTAACATACTGTTGTATTGACTAAAAAAATTCCTGTCAATCAATATATTTCTTTCTTTCTCCCTCTCTCACACCCACCTTATACACCAAACCATATGGCATAGAGAGTCCTTTTCTAATAGGTAAGAATACTTCACCTTTCAAGCCCATAAAGTATGAATGGAGGCAGGACTATCCAGAGAGTTTTAGATTTGCCAATAATTTTAGGTCATGCCCTTAGTAATATGGCATGGGTACTCACAAGATAATGTCCATAGACCCTCATATTTCTCAATAGCTTTCAAAGATTTAATACCTCTAAGCCACCTATCCAATATACTGACATTACATGTGAATGCTATTCATGACATGGAAGATAAGGCAATGAATTCATCTATGAAAGTAACATACTCTTTGTTAGATCACTGAGGGCAATGTTTATCAATCAATTGTTATCATGGGAGGTCAGATCTGATGTATCACTGGATGAAAACATGAGGAGACTATTTCTTTGCTACTCCACATCAGTACATTAGAGTTACAGTGAAACCCAGGAAATCTGGTCTTTTAGGATCTCAAAAGTTTTCTGCCTTTGACCAGGTGCAGTTTGACTACTTTCCTATCGTTCTCTAGAGGTAGAAAATATTGGCATTTCCTGGCTAATCCTGACAGATTTCCAACTTAAAGTGATACTGGCTTTCAGAGGTGTTACTATATAAGAGGAGCCCAGGTGGTGTAGTGGTTCTGTGTTGGACTGTAATCCACATGGTTGGCAGTTCAAAACCAGCATGAGCAGCAGCAGCAGCAGCTCAGTGGGAAAAAGACTGGACTTTCTACTCCTGTGAACAGTTACAGTCTTGGGAACCCACAGGGGGTCGCTATGGGTCAGCATTGAGTTGATGGCAGAGAATTTGGTTTCTTGGTTATCATATAAGAACTTAGGTCTCTGGGAATTTTAGACGAGATTTCTCTCATGACATTTTCAACTTATCATTTTACTTTGAAAAAAAAGTGTTGGTGCTAATAATAAATGTTTGCTTATTGTAGTTTTTTAGAATTGTTAACAAGAATTGTGCCACGGTCAACATTTTTAGAGGTGCAACTTAAAAAAATTAATTTAATAAAAATGTGATTAAGAAAAATAATATATTGATCAGGATTTTCTCTCTAATTCCATTTTTAGGAAAGGGTGAACATCTTAAGACAGTTAAAAATAAAAGGAAAAATTAATGCAACGTTCTGGATATATTTCATGCTTAAAAATAAAATTCAGTATAATCACTTGCATATTATATGTCTTCAGTACTTTACAATAATAATTCTTATGTTCACAATAAGGAAACAGACTATGAGCCTCCATTAAAAAAAAAGTGTTCCTTACTTAACTAAGGCAGAAAAGTCAGCTCAAGTATTTTATAAATGTTTTCCATAGTGAGCTACAATTATATGAAAACATATACTCAGGGAGATTGATAATAAACGTGGGTCACTATTTTTATACTATTGTGCCTTTTTAGCAATTCTGTTAGTATGCATTTTGTATTTTGTTAGACTATGGTGTATGGTTATTTAGTAATGAGAATAAAAGTAACAGTTCCCTTTCTGAACACCTTTGGTGTGTCAGGTCTATGTAGTCAGGCACTTAACATATGCTACCAATAACTTGAACATACCCTGCAAAGTGCATACAATTACCAATTCACAAGCCAGGCAACAGAACACCGGGAGTTAGGGAACCGACTCAAAGCCGATGAAGAGCCATTACAAGCTGTCTAGCTGCCTCCCATCCCTTCAATCTTTCCCACCAAATCATGTGGTTTTGTCATCTTCCTCTTTGAATTATAAATGCTACCAAAATAAAAGTGTACTTATCCTTAACTAGGTAGGTGATTCGAAATATTTAACCTTTCTAGACCTCAGCTGTTATCTCACGTAAAATGAAGGAGTTGGCTGATTGATTTTGAATGTCTCTTTCAGTTTTAAAATCAGAAGAATGACTATCTCACTGTCATTTGGCCCATTCCGACTCCTCGCGACCCCAAAGGGCAGAGGAGAACTGGCCGTGGGTTTCTGAGGCTGTACCTTGGTGGGAGTAGAAAGCCTCATCTTTCACCCAGGCAGCAGCTGGTGGCCTCGAACTGCTGACTTTTAACAGCCCAATGTATAACCACCGTGCCACCAAGACTCCTGGGCTGACTCGGACACAAAGAAAAGTTTTAATGGTCATTTTCACAATGTTTTTGTTATAAATAAGTTTAGTAACATTGGTTCTAAGTTTTGTGAGGCTGGGGCTCTGTCTGGAGATGCCGGGGAAGTCCCTCAGAGCTTGCCTGTCTCCCAAAGGCAGGGCCAGTGACCTTATCATTTTCAACGTCATTCCTTAAAAATGTACATATAATGGAAATTTTATACTCTTCTGTGCTATTAAAAAAGTACACATTTAACTTTTGTTGTCCAAAGAATCAATATCTTGCACTGAGATAGGAATGGGGAAAAAAGAACCACATTTTTCATGAATCTATAAATAATCAAAATATTTATTTATGTTCATTTCCATTTATTTAACCATAACAAATTTTTAGACATATGAAGAAATAAAAATATTTATAACATGGTAGACATAAATATAAATGAAATGCATAAGTATTTTAGACAAGTTAACACATATATTAGACAAACTGACCACATGCTTACATTGAACTTCATGGGCATATTAACACAGATATTTAAAAAGGATGTACTTTTACAAAAACTTCTTTAAAATGTTCACATATGCATCAGTAATAAGACATATTTCCTAGACTGCTGTTTTATAAAAACTATAAGAATCTAACCATTAAGCTCAGAGGGTAACATTTTTTTAAATAAACCAAGCATATTTTTGTAAACAGCAATGTTCCTTTAACTTCTAAAAAATAAAGTATTTTTCAAGCATTTTTACCAAGATCACACCACATTTATTTTTTAAATAAGCATGCATGACAGATTGAAACTTGAATAATTCATGTACCTTTATGCAGTGTTTAATTGTGTTATGGCACTCTTATTTTTTGTGAAAAACATCCTTACAATTTGGCACAGCATTTACATATCATAGTGCTATTAATCAAGCCAAATGTTATTTAAATTTTCTACAGCATAGAAAACTCTCGATCAGAATCTACTTTTCCCCTTTGCAGTTATGGCCCCATGGCAGTTTTCTTTTGTTCTGGTTGGAATAAGTAATAGATACTCAAGCATTAAGGTCCTTCCTAGCTGGGTGTCCTGCCTGCACTCTAATAGGAAATGAGTTGATGGCAGTGTTTCTGACAGAAAAACATTTCCATCTGTATTGTGGCCAACAAATTTCTAAATAGGGGTGATATCAGCAATAATACGTATCACCATGAGATGTTTTTCTTTGGGAGGCAGACAGGTTGAAAAGGAAATGTGAATCTCATCGTAAACTGGGAACATGTGTGCCATGGAGGGAAAGTGCCAAGTGAGCTAGAGGTAGCAGAGAGAGCTCCTTGGGAAGCTGGAGAGAGCGCACACGCTGAAGTAGCAAAACGGCAGAGAACAAAACAGGCAGGGGTAGAGGCTCAGTGGAGGGGCAGCGGCCAGCCGGCCACTGGTTTAAGACAAGGACATTTCTCACTCAAATCGGACAGCATCTCCTATTCACAAACTACAACTGCTTTTTCAGAAGCGTTCTCTATTTATTCATCAATCTGTGCATATCAGACTGAAGAAATCAAGGCAACTCTCTCAATTCAATCTTAACACCTCAGAAAGAGGGTGGGTGGAACGTTAATTCAAGGCTTCTCCAAATCAGCGAAGAGAATTCACGCTCCCTCTAACTGCGGGAAAATAGCAGTCCCTCACAGTCTTTCTCAGATAAAGTGAGGTGTTAGGTTTGGGGCGACTCGCCAAGGAACCTTCCTTTCCATCAAACCTGGGCAGCCACATTGCCATTCTTCCTTCCTTGAGGGGAAAGGAAGGATCATTCAATTTTTACACAAGTGCATTTTATTGAAAATAATAATAAGACAGAACAGTGAATGTATGTTTTTTTTTGGGGGGGGTTGTTTTGTGATACTAAAGGGCTTTTGTACAGTGAAATGGCAAAGAACATCCACAGGTTAAACAATAAAGGCAAAATTTTCTTAAAGCTCTTAAGGTGCAGATAGACACAGAGATTATGAATCACAGAGCACTGAATTTTCCAGAGTAAAATCATACCAAAACCGTGACAGGTTTTCGCTGACATCAGAGGAGAGCAAGTGGTCTGGAAGGTCACTGAAGGGAGCCTGCATTTGCAGCACGTGCGGTGCCAGCGTGAAGGGGATGTCATTCAGGAGCTCGGCCAGGATCGAGCTGCTTCCCAGTGTCTGGCCTGCTTGAGTTCCTGTCTCAGAGTCTGCTACAGTCACACTGGATGAGTTTTCTTTGCCGGTCTACAAACACATATACATTTAAAACATTTAGACCTCGTGGACTTTGAGGTTTGCTAATGGTAAGCGTGGCATCAATACATCAAAACGGCTGAGAAATGCAGCATGCACAAATATTCCCAGGTGAGAATGCAGTTTGGACCTTACTGGAGAGATCCGTTCGTCCAAACTTCTGCAGATCTCTACAGTGAATCCTCAACTCGGACCCTCACTCAGACCCTTACCCCCCATAATTAAGCGTGCTTGCTAGTCCTTTTATTCCCAGGTATTCCCTGCCAGTCTGGCTCTGCTTTTCCAAACCTATGTATGCGTTGAGGCTCTGCTGAACCATGAACCAGCTTCTCATGAAGCATCAATGGAGCCCACGGTGAACATGTAAAGGGCAAACTGCCCAGGATATTGTTAGGTGTTTCCTCTAGGTGTCCTGATTAGTTGTTTTATGGGCACGTGTTTTACCTCCGAGACTCTGAGGTGCTTCAAGGCAATGAATCTTAACTAACATGCTGTGTTACATAAGCTATTAAAATATGAAGGACTCGCAATATATTGTGTTTGATTTCTTTAAGATGAATACCCCTAGAGTACATTAGTTTGCAAAAAGCCCCTTATGGCAGACCAAATGCTGGAAACAAAGAAACAAACAAACGTCAACAGTACAATGGGTAATACCCTATAAGGTATGCTTACAGCAATGAGAATGATCAGCCACTACAAGCATCTCAACTTAAAAGTCAAACCGAATTAGGCAAAAAAACCCCAGAAAAACAAAACACTCCCTATCTCATGCAGAATGACTTCCCATCTCATTCTTACAGTGGCTGCAAGGTCCTTCATGATCTGGACATACTGGCCCTCATGCACCGCTCCGCATTTCCACTGGTGATTGCTAGTACACACCCAAACTGCTTCTACCTTGGGCCCTTTGCAGTTTCTATTTTCTCTCCCAGAAGGTACTTTCCCTAGATAGACACACAGTTCCTGCCCCCTGCCCCTTCCAAAGGCAGACCCAAACACTACCTTCTCAGCAGGCCTTTCCTGGCCAGGCTGTTTAAAACTGAATACTATTACTTCCCACCTACTGCACAATCCAGATGCCTCCCTCTACTGATTTTTCCCCTTTCTGTAGCCCTTGGTACTTTGTAATACACTCTGTGTTAATTATGATTATTGTCCCTCAAAAGCTTAATCAGATTGTGTCTCTCGTGTTCATTTCCATATATCAAATGCTTAGATCAGTACCTAAACCACCTGTCATTGAGCTGATTCCAACGCTTGGCAATACCAGGTCTGGCGAAGTTGAATGGTACTTCAATGACTGGTTTTTTAAAAGTAGACTGCCAGGCCTGTCTACCTAGTCTATCTGGCTGCACATGAGGTGTATCTTACCAACGAACTGCCACTGCCCCAGACTGATGCCTAAAAACCAAACCAAACTCACTGCCATTAAGTCAATTGCAACTCATAGCAACTCTAGCATACAGGGTAGAACTGCCCCTGTAGGTTTCCAAGATTGTAACTCTTTCTGGGTGTAGAAAGTCTCATCTTTCTCTTGTGGAAAGGCTGGTGGTTTCGATCTGCTGACCTTGTGGCTAGCATCCCAACGCATAAATGCTATACCACCAAGGTAATACTTAGTGTTCGATAAATATTCATCCAATAAATAAAAGTAGACAAGAGTTTACTTGTTTGGAGATTATATTCTAATGCTAATGAGTACTGATAAAGTGCTTATCTCTCAGCCTTGAGAATGATTTTCTGTGTGAGGCATATCAGAGTTGTAAAAGTTTTATTGAAGAACAAATATATACATGAGATTACATTCTGAGTGCACAGTTTGTTCAATTTCTAATCACTGCACACATGTGAGTAACCAACACCCAGACCAAGAAACCGAAATGACCAACTCCCCCAGGAACCCTCCTGATGTTCCTGCCAGACAAACTCAACTCCCCGCCTCCAAAGCAATCACCATTCTGACTGTAAGGGCTGAGCCTAGGTTTATCTCTTTTTGTGATTTAAATGAATACAATCACACAGTATGAGCTCTTAGATTCTAGTTTCTTTCACTAAATATGATATACATGAGGCTCATCCATAGTGATGTGTATCAGATTTTAAAATCTTGAGAGAGAGAGAGAGAGAGAGAGAGAGAGAGAGAGAGAGAGAA